TAATAAACTAAACCCTTGCGTCCTGTTTTTCTCGGATTCCATTTTCTAAAATTTTTATTATTATGATTTGTACCCGTCTGAGACGATACCATTTCTCTTTTCAATGTAGTCGGTTTTATCCATCAAGACAACTCCCGCTCCTTTATCTGGTTTGAACAGTAAAACTTGGACCTTTTGGTGCAAACGTTCTAGTGTCTCAAATTGTTCTTCTGTTGGCAGTCATTTGGGCCTGGGTTTTTAGCCGAGATATTGTAACATGAGTTGGCTAACGTCGATTTCAGGTGTCTTACGCAGTTCGAAAGAGCATACTAGCACAGATAACTGATTATATAGACTCTCAGAATGGAACTCAAGCTGGCGGTGACTATTCTTGCGACAAAGAAGAATTGTGGACTTACCTTTCTGGATTAGTCAAAAACTTCGTGCTCGGTGTTACTGTATTGTGCTGGCTGGCATCTGTCCGTTTTGGCAGTGATTAGTCGAACGTATGCTTTGAAGTCCCAGCGATCGCATATCGTGAGCGTTTCTGATGCGCCTACACATTGCGCTTGTTTGTGTTGTAGTTCACGAATGTTCTCTCAGAATGTCACACTCACTGCGTGCGTGGTGGCTTGGTGCAGTGGCTGTTAGATTGATTCGGTTTCTGCGTAGTATTTGCGAATAGTGGTTTGGGAACTTATTTAGGACATGCAACTTTGTCTTGGTTTCCGCAATTTTCGCGCTGTACCTCGGATACTTCTGAGGTTCATTTAGCACGCTTGGACCTTTGGGTTGTCTCAAGTGCTTCGATATGTCCTTGGAGTCATGAGAAGAATGAAGGTAGCGAACAAGGCATGTTTTCTGTGATCGTTCCTCTCGGTTCATACATCACGAATTTATATGATGCCAGAAATCACGTGAAAAGGTTATGTCAAAATCGGTGCTACATACTGAAAGAAAATGCAAAAGAAAATGAGGGGAAGGGGGCCCGAATGAGAGGTACGCGGGTCAAAAGGTCACCGAGTCAAGTGAGTGACGTCAATGTCAAACAAGTTTGTGGGACCGGATTTTCCGCAGTTCAGCTTAAGTTCAGAGGTCAAACAATTTTATTTTTGACACAACTTTGCGGTTCCAGCAGTCGAACTCTGTGCCTCTACGATCGATAGTAGTCTGGATCGTGTGAGCGTGATTGGTTTCAGGGGCATCGGTAATTAATATCGAAGGCGTATCCTTTGTCGATCAGATGACTAGTTTTGGCCATTATACCCGTCTGAGACGATGGGACACGTCTTTTTAATTAGTCGGATTTGTCCGTCAAGATAATCCCTGCTCCTTTATCTAGCTTTGGCAGGAAAACTCGGTCGTCTAGCTGTGAATGTTTAATGGCCTCGAATTGTATGCTGACCTGTGTAGTCGTTGTTTGGAGGTTTCTTTTTTTCCGGTTGTCCTCCGCTTTTCTTTTTGAACTTCGTGAATATGTTTAGTTTAACGTAAAAATTCTCTGGCCGTTTCAATGTTTACCTTCAAGCATTTTCAGTTTCATTGTCATTCATTTTCGGAAGGTCGTTTTTGTGTTATGCTGGAAGATTTGGGTATGAATTTAATGGTAAATCAAAAGGTTCTGCATTTCTCATTTCTCTGAATTGGAATGCGAGTGGGGTTGCGAAGGTCAATAAATATTTTGTGTGAACTGTTGTTGACACTACGCGGTTTTATGCTCACTGAGCCGATCGTCGTTATGCTGGACTTAACAAATTCAAGGTGATGTAGGTAAATTGGCGGCCGGTCGGTGTGGTGGATTGAGATGAAATGATTGATATTGTCGGCGCAAAGGTTAGGTCATTTCAAACCCGCATATGAAGAATGGCGGTAGTCGTTTATCGTGGGGTTATGTGCATTCATGCGAAGGCTTCATTTGCTTCAACATCACATGCGACTGACTTGTGCGGCACGTGACTGAATTTGTTGGTCACATATAGTCAGATGCATTCTGACCTGATGGCCCGATCACACAAAAATAGGTAAAATTCAGGACACAATTATTCTCACCGACCATCCAGTGTCAAAATCGGTGCTACATACTGAAAGAAAATGCAAAAGAAAATGAGGGGAAGGGGGCCCGAATGAGAGGTACGCGGGTCAAAAGGTCACCGAGTCAAGTGAGTGACGTCAATGTCAAACAAGTTTGTGGGACCGGATTTTCCGCAGTTCAGCTTAAGTTCAGAGGTCAAACAATTTTATTTTTGACACAACTTTGCGGTTCCAGCAGTCGAACTCTGTGCCTCTACGATCGATAGTAGTCTGGATCGTGTGAGCCGTGATTGGTTCAGGGGCATCGGTAATTAATATCGAAGGCGTATCCTTTGTCGATCAGATGACTAGTTTTGGCCATTATACCCGTCTGAGACGATGGGACACGTCTTTTTAATTAGTCGGATTTGTCCGTCAAGATAATCCCTGCTCCTTTATCTAGCTTTGGCAGGAAAACTCGGTCGTCTAGCTGTGAATGTTTAATGGCCTCGAATTGTATGCTGACCTGTGTAGTCGTTGTTTGGAGGTTTCTTTTTTTCCGGTTGTCCTCCGCTTTTCTTTTTGAACTTCGTGAATATGTTTAGTTTAACGTAAAAATTCTCTGGCCGTTTCAATGTTTACCTTCAAGCATTTTCAGTTTCATTGTCATTCATTTTCGGAAGGTCGTTTTTGTGTTATGCTGGAAGATTTGGGTATGAATTTAATGGTAAATCAAAAGGTTCTGCATTTCTCATTTCTCTGAATTGGAATGCGAGTGGGGTTGCGAAGGTCAATAAATATTTTGTGTGAACTGTTGTTGACACTACGCGGTTTTATGCTCACTGAGCCGATCGTCGTTATGCTGGACTTAACAAATTCAAGGTGATGTAGGTAAATTGGCGGCCGGTCGGTGTGGTGGATTGAGATGAAATGATTGATATTGTCGGCGCAAAGGTTAGGTCATTTCAAACCCGCATATGAAGAATGGCGGTAGTCGTTTATCGTGGGGTTATGTGCATTCATGCGAAGGCTTCATTTGCTTCAACATCACATGCGACTGACTTGTGCGGCACGTGACTGAATTTGTTGGTCACATATAGTCAGATGCATTCTGACCTGATGGCCCGATCACACAAAAATAGGTAAAATTCAGGACACAATTATTCTCACCGACCATCCAGGCAGTAGAATTGAGTAATGGGCTGCGAGAATGTAACTAATGGTATACACAGAATATGCTGTTGTAATCGTTTGCGAGATCTTTATTATGGCTAGCGGTGGCCGATAATCAACGGTTTACTGTAAATTCTTCTAAACATTGCTTACTGGACAACTAAATTCGCGTTTTACGAAATCAAAATCGGATTATGGATAGGATGAAGGCCCAGAAGACTTCAGTTGATCATGGGTATCCTAAGGATGTGTTGCCAATCTGCCAAAAGCATTTCTACTGAGGTGCATTATAGTTCGGGGACGGTTACCGCATGATGAATAACACTCGTGCTGGAACTTTTCATGTTAGACGACAAACTTCACCCGCATTTCCAACGCTGCCGAATAGACCCATCAATTTTAATCCACGGCGGAAGAAGCAGAAAGTTATAGGTTATCAATGCTGGTACGGTAGAAAATACGCTTGTAAGCTGATGATCTTCAACCACTGTGCACCGCTTCAGTTAGGCAATGTATGAACGTTGTCTTCAGTCTTGGTCAAACTGCGTTGCTAACCAATTGTTTTGACTCCGAGGCTAAAATCTTCGACCCCATTACCCAACAAGGTTAGCCACCGGCCACAAGGTATGAAAAATCACTTCCAAAGGTAAGTGTCATAGTTAACTCTGGTACAACCCCCCGGCAACCTTACGCAGCTGACCACTTCAAAGTACAGGTGAGTGGTCAACAGCATGACTAACTTACACTTCACACTGTTGACCTGTCACGTCCAGTCTCTCTGAATGGACGATTTTTCGTGTGCTTTTGATTGTGTTTTATTGCGAGCGCTTAGAGACCAGAGTTGCTGAGCTTCTCTTCAGGTTTTCTAAACTATCCTATATCTATATTGGGAAGATAAATGTCTCACCACTGTTTCCCGGCCAATTTGTTGATTCAATCGCTTGGAGTTTTTGTTGGAATTCTATGCATACGTTCTCTTCTATTGGTTTTTCACTAAGCTATCAATGAAAGGGAGAGAGAGCCATCGCTGCGGAGTTATTGGAAAGCACCAACTGAACAGTTAGGCTATTGGACAGGGAATCAAGACTCTCATATGCATCTTGTCTATAAAAACTGAACATCCATCTTCTCGAACGTGCCTTCCTGAACCTTCCTGGATATTCACTGACTATCACTCAAGTGTGAACGAACGCTACAAAGCAATTCCACAAAGTCCATAATAAATCTTACTTTTCAAGAGACGCGAAGCGGATTTACGAGAAAGCACACTACTCACATGTCTCATCAGTAGTATCCACCGATATAATCGCCTGGAAGTTTTTCGTTGGAATTCTATATCTGCCTTCCCTTCCATGGATTTTTCACTAAACTATCAATACGGTCTTTTTGCACGTGCATTGCTATTTTGGTCACCGTTATACCTGAAGAATACCGCCCTGTTGCACCTACTATATGTCTGACAGTAGACTTATTTTGGTTTATTTGTCAGGGTCTGAAATCGGCGTCAGTAGATGAGCCGTTGGCAGAAATCGCGCGTGGGCGTTCCGACTCATGGAACGCAACAGCATTTCATAACGTGAACACCGTTCGCGCAAGTTGGTGTTCGAACGTTTTGACAGACACGAAGGAAGAAGTAACAACTCATCCGAAAGCAGATGGTCCTCGGGTTGGTGAATTCAACTCGGTGGATATTTTACCCTCAAGTGAGCATGTGACTTTTTCAGTCAGCTCACCTGCCACACAACGTCACAGTCTACCCAAAGGTTAGTTGCTACTTATGTTCTTATTGATTAACTACTCAAATTTAATAACTTTCCTTCCTCCAGTGGACTTTAAACCTGACTTGATTGGGCCAAAATATTACGTCACTCGAGTCTTCTGACGTTGCGAGCCGAATTTATCATCGAAGCATAACAGAAGGCTTCTTAATTGTTGTCTTTTGTGTGTATTTTGTGTCGGCACTTCGCTCAGCTGGGTTTTTGCTTTCAGTTCTCTCACCCCTACCTGTCTTTCACATATCTTGCCTCATTATCATAGTTAGATGTCAAACTTGGTCGCTTTTGAATGAACCATTTTATTCAGGTTTCTTTCCTACCCGGATCAGTCCTCATTAATGTTATTTTCCAATCTGCCTAATTGGCGAAAAATAGAAAAAATGGACGGAGCTTACTTGGTGCAATTGAGGAAGTAACTGTTTGTACTAGCCCGTTGTAAACACTTGATTTAACCCAGCACCAAACACTGTTCCTCCTTACCTAACAGCTTATGCTTATTAGGGACAACATTACACTCCCTTGTCGTTTTTCACTGGTAGGAGGGTTTAGTAGCAAGAGTACCTCATGACTGCTTTCACTATTATTAGCATGGTTTCATCTCATACCGCACAGTTATCGATGAGCATTGTCCTTTTGTGGAACTCAGCTGATACGATACCAACTGTAAAAATATACTTATGTCGCATTTGCAAAAAAAGCTAGTCTCAGAGTATTGGGTCATCTTCTAGAATGGAAATATGTCTTTTTTCCATGTCGATTATTAGATATGTTGTCAAGTGACTCAGTTAATTACCTCGTCGGCGGGAAAGTTGTGTAAGACTGTGTGGTCTATCCTAGCAGCATGATCATTCGTTCGTTCAGCTGTTGCACCCTTTCGGTGCCCTGCCACACGAAGGAGGCACGAGGGCTGGATACTGCCATGTTGCCCAAGCCTAGACAGGGGAAGTTGAGAGGCAGAGGTCGAGTTCGAACCACGGACCTTCCGGTCTGTAGATTCGCGCTCTAACCACTTGGTCCATCTCGCCCCATTCTCACTGCAAATCAACGAATAGACCCCGGACTCTTGCGCACCGGAGCGGAAGTCGCGGATTATTGGATAACGTTCTCAGTCCGTGACGGTTGGGATATTCGGCACAAATACCGGCATTCGTAAATTGAGTAGTTCTCGTATTTTCAGATAATCATTCGGATATTATGCGAGCAGTGGGTGCCCACTTATAAAAGTAGTCAAACTTGACCACAGTAATTTGCGTTCTTTACATCCAGTGAGCTTCAGTAGAGATGCAATGTCAGTTGAATTCTTACTGTCAGTTTCTATCCAGACTGTTTGATTGGGTGTGTGAACCCTAATGGTTTGCAATAATTTAGCCTGAGACTCATTTTCTTCTTTACGGCTGCTAAACACTCATGTTCTCACGCATACGGGGAATGGCGATGATGATACTTTCAATTTCTTAACGAGCTATGTAATGGAAGTTCCATATCCATGACAATTGAGCATCCAGGTAGCATGACTATAGGTATCAACTAAGTGCATGCTACCGCTTCTATGGGATCCTGAGACTGCCTTATCTGAAAGTCTGGAGTGATATATCTTCGTAGGGCTTCGTACTTGTATCGGTAATATTTTGACTCTATGTCGAAACTTGACAAGGTCACCTGTTCAGGTACTGTCGTATCCCTCAGTTCTCATACAGCAAACGTAGTAGCTCACACGTTTCACGTTTGTGCCTCCGTCATTTGTGATATCGAAAGAATTACTTATTGCTTATGGGCATTTAGTCCTTCTCTACCACTGGTGAAGAAGATGCGTAGAATCACTCTTGGTTTCCGGCTAGCTTCTGTCATGAAATGGGTCCATGAGCAGTGACCTGTTTCTTAAGCCTATGTAGTATGCCCTTGTTACGCTGCCATTCGTCATAACGGTGTACGGGTCGAGATGGCCCAATTGGTTAGGGCGCGAATTTACTGACCGGAAGTTCCGTGGTTCGAACCCGACCTCTGCCTCTCGACTTCCCCTGTCTAGGCTTGGGCGACCTGGCAGTATCCCAGCCCTCGTGCTTCCGTTGGGTAGCACGGTAGCACGGCACCGGGAGAGTGCTACAGCTGAACGATAACGGTGTTCTCACCTTTCGTCACTTAGTTACTTACGAAGACTGTTTTTCTCTCTCATACCTCCCTTTTTACTATCAGTTTTTAGGTACCTATCGTTGACGATGAACTGTAGGTACATGGTATTCCACACTACCCATTATTTTGTAACTGAAATCACGAGTACATCACCCAGTCGGCCAAGCATTTACGACAAGATAGTATAAGGACTGTCGGGCCATTGGCACAACTAGTTCTTACATTAAATGTAGAAGTGGAGTGCGAATACATTATGTCAGATGAAGGTGAAGGATAGCTTGATGGACGATGGTGAACAACCATATTTATCGCAAACTCATCAACCAAAGCATGCAAAAGAAGATAGGGGAAAGGCGTTTCGCCTTTCTGAAGGCTACGAATGTAGTCCTTAAAAAGACTTCAATCAACCAAGCTTGCTCAATGGATCTTCATAAATACTCAAACTGAAGAAAGACAGGTGCCACTTGTGGAGCATTGTAAGTGTCCTAGCCGGCAAAATGGCGGTTATGTCCTGGGAATGTCTTTTGTGAAACAGCGTAAAAAAATAATAACAGGGAGCTGCAAAGAAGAGAAGGTTTAAGGCTGACTCTGTTTAGGTCACCTGCCATGATGCGAGATTATCCGTGATATTAGACGTAAAATTTAAGAACTGGTTCAAGGATTCATCTAGCGCACTTCATGAAAGAGTGAACTGGATTCTGAGAAAACTAGATAAGATTCCAAGTTTGCGCGAAAGGCGATTTGAGCAGACGTTGCCTAGTCCGGGTAAGCAAAAGTAAGAATGCCTCCACCGTGTTTCTTGTTCTTCAGCACATGGTCAAGTCAGAAACAGTTGTAGCCGGGACTAACTGTTACACTGGTATCACAGCCGTAAATGATGTATCTGAGTAACAATTAAACTGACGTTGATAGCTGCAATGAAGGAAGAGACGTCTTTCACAAAGGTTTACTAGCTAGCCTATGACGCCAGCCACCTGAACTACTCCTGCACTTCGGAGTGCGGGACGAGTCCATTAATTCGCGTTTGAGCAGAAGGACGAATTCCCGGGAAAACCTTGTAACCATGGTTAGCTCATTTTAACAATAGTTGCTGTTCAAAATACGATATGACCGAGAAACTGTACAGAATAGTGGCCACTTTCGTTTATTCCAATTGAGTGCGCCAATTTAGGGGACGCGTTTTGGGATGTACATTTTTAACTCAGTTATTTGACAGGAGAATATGGTACACCACCAAGATTTGACTGCATGCACTTAAATGGACACATGCACATCGGTCGTGTTCGTTTACGGCTTAAGTGTAGTACACTACTCATAAGGTTGCCTAAAACCGTTCGACAATGCAGGAACAGTTTCGCTCTTCTTAAGGCTTATCGGGCAGGCGCAGCCCCCGAGTATCTGTCAACCTTGTGTTTTACTTAAACCCGAATTGGAGAGAATACGACAACTACTCTCATTTTGCACACAATTCTGGTTTTCGCAGGAGTTTTTCAACTGAATTCAGATGAATCTCTCGTTTCATCAGTCCGTCTTTTGTTGAATCCTGTCCAATTTGGTTTCAAGTAGGACATAAAATTAGGGGAACCTGGGGACTGCGTCTATCTCTTGAACCCCAGGAAGGGCAAAATCGGCTCTGGGCTATCGAAAAGTTTTTAGCGACTTTGCGAATAGTGTTTCAAGTCTATCCAATACACTGCAATATCTCCAATGACGTGGCCTGGTTGAGCACATTCAATTGAGACGAACCATCGTAAAAGGGAGATTCAACTGGATTCGGTTGAGTCTCCTGCCAAAACTAAATTTCTGTACAAATGAGAGTAGTTGTCGACATAGGATCTATTTGCACGAAGTCCCTACCATTCCCATTTCTTCTTTCTGTTTGCTAAGTTTTTCTTCCGTCGTTGTGTGGTAGTAAAGCTATGTATTACGAGCGTATTGCCGCCCACGATGGTGATGATGAATCAATGCCGCTCACGTCCCTGTTGTTTGCTTACATTCAGACTATCTACCGGTTTCTTTGAATGACAGTCACCACGGAATGAATGTGGTATTCTCGTACTAGTTTCTCACTCTTCCACTTCACTCTTGGTTCCTTAATTTTCAATAGCAGATCATAACTTTCGCTCGGTATTGGCGTTCGATTTTGTCATTGTTATGCTGATTGCAGCCCACGACTACACAAACCTGGTTTAATTTGCTTGTACCAACAATGTTGCGGAGCTTGGTTTCCGTTATATTCGAACGTTTCCCTCTTTGAAAGCTTCATAGACCACCACAGATTGGTATTCGAAGTTGTTGGCCTGTGTTGTAGATCCTCTCGTGTACACCATTGTTACCATTTTGATATGTTGGCTCTTCTCTGTTTCATATGTGGAGGATAGCTTATTTTCGAAGTGGGGTGAATCCAATCCCAAGAGAATTTTGTCCATTTGTAACGATACAATGGATCCAGAAGTGGTCACGATTGCCATTTTCTCAGTCCGCCTTCACTTGTTGACAGCATGTGATTCGTTCCTGTGTGATTAATCGTAGGTCTTAACCGCTTGCATTTAGTTTGCATACATTTCTGGCAACCCTGATCGAAAAAAATTGAGGTGTCGAGTGTAGGCCGATAACCTCTACCGTTAATTATTGTTTTTGAACCAAATGGACCTTTGGATTGATCCGTAACTTTCACTGGAACTCGTTCTTCACAGTAATCGGAGACTGGTTCTAAGTGCTGTTGTCAATATCCATTTTATCAATGGGATTTCGTGGCTTGCATAGCTCATCACGTGTGACTGACGCCGTCGTGAACCATGTTTATGCGTTTTCAGTTTCGAAATAACCGAAGGCATTTCAATTAAAGCACCCTCAGC